TTCTAGAAGACCCGATAGGCATTTAGAGGGAGTTTCCAACCACATAAGGATTCCTATAATCACTAGGTGGACTATCCCTTGATTATAGTCTTTACAGTGCAGCGCAAAGTCACTCCACTGGTCAGCAATCAGCTGCAATTGATTTTGCTATGGGCCAGCCAACTGAAACAACAAAATATGTGTAAATGGCTGGTACTTAAGAAAAATGGTTGCAATTTAAAGGGATATATAGGCAAAAAGGTTTTGTGGGTTTAACACCGCGGATGTCAACTGGTTAACAGCGGTTTAAACTTACCTGTTATCGCCGCGCGCTCCCGCCTGAGAATCTGAAGCTGCTCAGGCGGCCACAAAGCATCTTGGGACAGGCGCATGTGCAGTTCGGATTTTCGGCCAGGAGACGAGCAGAGACGCAAGGTAAGTCTATGGACGCGTGCACCCGCATGCGGAAACCCGCGGGATAGGAAGTGCCTGCAAGCAGAGAGGAGTCAGCGCTGGATCGGAAAACCGCCGCACCGCTGGAGGGACAGATGAAAATATCAGGAAAGAAAAACAATATCGGATTAAGAGACATCATTTAAGGTAAGTGCTAACATTAACATGGGGGAGGGGAAAAATTGACTTTAATGTCACTTTAAATTAAAATACACATTTTATTTCTGATTCAAGGGGTTTGTTTCTACTGAGCACTTCAACTCAATTTTACAGTTTCTTTCCAATGAGCACACATCTTTTTCTAGCATAGTTGCCAACACCTGAATACAGATGAGTGCAATGAATAAACATCTATTTTATTGTTTCTTGCCTTACCTATGAATGATCTGTGTTAAGATAACTACCTGTGTGAAGATAATAATATAAGGGCAGCTTGACATTTACCTGAATACTTGCCTTCCTAAGCCACAGTTTATGGGAGCTCACTAAAAACTAAGGCTTGCGTAATCCCTCAAAGAAATGGAGTGTTCCCACTCCACTCCCACATCCCCTTATCAAACAACAAGGGTGTATTGTTCCACCATTGTTTTCATTGCCAGAAGGCCAAACCTTTAAAAGGCATATAGTCCCACTATTGTTTTCATTGTCAGAAGGCCATAACATCGATCTGCATTCAATATTATGAAAAGAACTCTGTTGCATATAAAATGATGAACTACAATTCCAAACTTCCTGAGGAGGTAGCACTGCTGTTGCATTTTGGGACTACTTCTTCTGTATATGGTAATACCAGACAGCCAGAGTGGTCCTATACATAATGTTACATCATCATCAGGTCAAAAGCAGATAGGTATCATGAATCATGAATTTTGTTTTAGGGGACTTGGCATATGGTATACTCCTTCTGTATTGTCAAGCGTTACTGGGTTCTACAATACCCTTTAGTTCCTCTGTTTTTCTATTTGGTTAAATAGAGGATACTATTTCTGCTAAGTATTCTAAGATCCATTTTTGCCTGGTATGTTTCTATGCAAAAAGGGACATTGTTTCGGAATTGAAACCAACCTCTCACAGCAAAATCATAAACAAACTCCATTAGCAAAATTGAACCTATAAATATGCTGACAGATTTTATAAAATCTGTTCTCCACGGTTGGCACGGGATCTAGCGACTTATTAATAGTATACTTGTAAACTGCTGACACAAACCCTGCATTGAAGTTTATGCAAGCCCTAAGAATAAACTTCTGTATTCACTCACTTTTGGTCTGTTAAATATACCATTGAAAGTGTTTAGTTATATCTGTTTGATAAGTGCAAAAAAATGCCTGTTGATGCCGCCACAAATCCAGGGAGTAGTTAAATGCTTCTATACTCTTATTAACTTATCGGTCCTATTCAGTCCAAGGGTAATGTCTGCATCGGATGCAGTCACTTTACATCAGTGTATAGTGGTGAATTGCTTCACCTCTAGCAGCCACCTTTCTCCTTAAGGATAGTGCGCCTAGCGGTACTTGGATGCCCCCAGGGCTTAAACTTTTCACTCTGGCTATAAAGTTTGCAGGCGACCCCCCTGGAGCAACGGAGTAGTTCAGAAATCAAGATAGCAGACAGGATCTGGATTCAAAATAAAAGACAGGAACTCTCTCATAGAAGTCAGGTAACAAGACAAATACAGGACACCACATACAAGACGGTACAGGATTCAGGAAATAAGACAGGTACAGGATTCAAGACAGGACTTGGATGCAAATACAAGATCAAGATATACAAGGTAAGATAATGGCTTGTGCAGACAGGACTAGACCAAACTATCACAAGCCCAGAGCCCTGGGCTTATGATGCCTAAATGAAGCACTGATAACCACCCCCCGAACTGAGAGTGGCATGTAGCCAGGCTGATCAGCCCGCAGCTGGCTGAGGGTATGTGGCCACAAGCAACCACCAGAGGGAGCTGAAATGTTTGCCACAGACATAGGAGCATTAGAAATGCTTATAACAGGTAATAATAACACTAACTTACTGCACTGTATCTATGGAGGAGAATCCTTGTCACCCAAGGACAGGAAGTGTGTTAAGACTCCAGAACACCTACTCCCTATGTTATGAAGATAAGTAGAGAGGGACATGTCATGTAGACCTAATGCACTTTCTGTCCTTGTGTGACAGTGCTGCTCCCTCATAGACAACACAGTGAGAGAACCTTGTCACCCTACTACAGGAAGTGTGTTACATGGCAGGATCACCCGGTAAAAATAAAGGAAAAATGTCTGAAAGAAGAAAACTAATGCAACCACCACATCTAAGGACTGGTAAGCTGTGATACAATAATTTTTTTGTTCTTGGGTTTAGATACACATTACTAACGTAATTCTTTATGTTCCCAGATGTACATGGAGATCCTGATATGGGACTTGAGGTGGGATGTTGTTTTAAGAGAGGGGCAGGGCCTGAAGGAACTGCTATTGTTCTTGTTATTTGCCACTTCTACTACTGTATACTGTAGTCCCCAAAAAAAGCAACACAAATGTATACAAATGTATACTAATGTTCAACTATTAAAATAAGCTTTAAAATGCATCATGCCCGGACTTACTTACATGACAAACCAAGGACTCAAACAATTTTGTTAATATTTAAAGACTCAATTTCTCCGCTGGCTTGATGCATTTTATCTCTGTAGTATTACCATATTCTTATTTGACTAAAATGTCTTTTATCAAACAGGCTTTGAATTTAAATTCTGCATATGGGTACTTAGCTTTCTAAAAATGCCTGCCGAGCTAAGAATATAAATGTTCTCTTATTCTGGTATAAATGTGTTAGCTCAAGGCATACCGATGATACAATTACTGTTACCAGTTGATTATGTAAATTCTGATTAAAATGATGAGAACACACTGAGGTCACAGGAACAAATGCATTCAATTTGAACGCCAATCAAACTTTTTTTCAGTTTTAGAAAGTGGAGAGGAGTTAGAACCATCCTTTTTTGTAGCATTGTTGGGAAAAGTTTGCCTGAGTTCCTTTCACAATGCTACCAGGACAGGGAGTGGGGAAAAATCTTCAACAGGAACAGCAGTAAGAAGTGGTTGCAACAACTGATATTGCTATAGGGGGAGGCTGAGGAGCCTTTCACATAGAAAAGTGGAACGCATGCGCCGACCCACTAAACATGGGGTCGCGACCCACTTTTGGGTCACGACCCACCAGTTGAGAACCAAGGGTCTAAGTGACACATTCAGACTCCAGAGCTAAGTCAACAAATATGAATCTTTCATAAGTAAGTCTACACAATTATAATAATTAAATATTACATTATAATAATTCAATATTTAATATAATTTAATAAGAAGTAATGAAGATAAAAACATATCATTCAAGTATTTTTAAATAGTGCATTCTTCTAACACTGGACGATACTTTTGTTTTTTTAGTTTTATGGAGTGGTCACGTGATTGCAGGGCCACTCTTCCCATCCTTCAAACATCTTATATTCGGGACGGCTTATACTCGAGTATATACGGTACTGATACTTGTTCAAGTACTCACGGATACAAGTACTGATGCATTTTTGTTTATTGTCATGTGACTGTTTTTCTAAAATAATACAAACTAATGATTTCAGGACAGAGGTGGAGCGCCAGAGCCAGGTCCCAGCTACAACTGCTGCAACCCTGGTAGTTCTCCTAAAAATGTCAAGTATTGGCACTGGTATCTGAACTGGTATCTGAACATCCCTACTTCAAACCGAAGGGCAAAGCTGCATCGACTATGGGGGAGGCATGGTTGTGCCACCCCCCCTTTCCTCTCTTAACGCCATTCTGTGGTGTTGGAGAATGCTTTCTTAAAGTGATATTATTATTATTATTATTATTCAGGATTTATATAGCGCCAAAAACCTTTAGTGTTTTTTTTTATTTTTAAATTGGAGGCCCACAATTATAGAAATACAGCATTAATTTTGTTTAAAAATGATCAATTCCTCGTTCTCTAGTGGGTCTCCGCCCCCTGCACGGGTGCCTCCATCAGCTAGCCGGCTGCTATGGAAGCACCAGTCCGTGACCATGCCCTGAAGTAGCTGTGTGCATCTATAAACAAACAATCTGCCATTGCTGTGGGGCAGCCCCTACACTGCAAGGGTTAACTGCTTGTTAATATCTAAGGGAAGATTCTAAAGGACTTTTACTTACCTGATCCCTGCCCCTGCAGGCCCCAAGACCAGAACTCAGAATCTCTTCCTCCTGCCCTTCAGCAGTCAGAGAACCACTGACATCATCACATACAATATAGGGTCAATAGCCCTCCACTAAAAACGAGGATACCAAGGCACAGCCTACAAGCCATAGTATAAGAGGCACAAGATGAAAGCCGACTGCTGGGGGAGCGGGGATCAGGTAAGTAACAATTCTTTACACAAGATTTATAGCTGGTACTGCGGGCATGGAGGTACCTTACCCATGCTCCTATACTACAATGATCCCATGCCAGAGCCTCTAGAAACGTATACACACACTTACACAACAGTTTAATTTATGTTGACAAAAAAAAAAAGTTTCTCAACTTACAGCAGAATTCGGAGTGTATCTCAGAAACCGAACAACTTTGGCGTCCGAAGCTGGGCAGGCTAAAGCCATATATCGATTGCGAAAGGTCCCATAGATTTTCAGGTGAAATCCCGGCTTGCCTAAAGTTTCCTTTCCACCACCGGCAACATCAATTCCATAGGCTGACAGATCAAAATGTAGATTGTGGGTTCGGATCTCTGGAGTTGGCACCTGTGTTGATGAAAAGTCAAACAAGACAGATTCAAAATACAAACTTCAAATACATTTTGCGATTCACTAGCTTAGAAAAAGCATAGGTATTTTAATGAGTCTTGATCTTAGCAAGCACAGCAAAACTCAGACTAGGAGGAGCAGCAAAATGAGTCAATCAGACTTTGCTGTATGCACATGTGCTGGCAGGGAAGATGCTGACTGGAGAAGACAGCAAAGCTGATGACTTATCAATGTGTTCCTGCTTCTCCACTATCTAATCAGCAGGCTGTGGGCGAGAAGGTGGGGTTACCAACTTTGCTTCAAGTGAAACCTGAACACTATAGCGGCGCGCACAGCAACTTTTTTCCGGAGAATATACGAGAGAGCAAGGAGAGACAGCAGGGAGAGGGAGTAAGGAGACTGACTATAGAGGACTACAAATCCCAGCAATACATTATACAGCAATACAAAGTTATATGACGCTACATACTCTGTGTTGCTCCGGGGTGGCAGCCTGATGTCTCAAGTGGCCTGTGCGGGCTCTCACTAGGGCTGTGCATGCCCTCGGGTGGACTCTGCGGGCTCTCGGGTGGGCTGTGCGGGCTCTCGGGTGGGCTATGTAACCCGGACACAGCATTCTTAACCCAGACTAACCGGGTCAATCCCGGACAGGTGGCATCCCTACGGGAACGTGACACTACTATATACCCTAACAGAGAAACAGATGTCACCTTCTTGAGACTGTGCTGTCTAGCAGGGGTACATGAATCACAAAATTGGCTGGGCAGAATAACAGATCATTCATATGTGATATTAAATCGTGTAATTAGCGGTTTTCCTAAAGTTCAGCTTCAAGCTAGTTTCCTCCGTCATTTAAAATGAAAGATATCCATGATCAAAACCGATGATAACGATGTGATGACAAGCAATTATATTGGCAGCACATTTGAATATCTACTGTATAAGAAGAAAGTGATGTTTCTCATTATGTTTGCAGATGTCTAATCCCCTTTGGTGTAGAGACCGTTTTTTCTCAGAAACAAAGTTAATTATAGTAACTGTATGAAAGATGCATAAACAGTTATACATACACAAATAATCTGTAAATATTTAACAACATATACAGGAAAAATAAAACACTAGAAGATAAATAGAAAATTCCAAACAGAAAAATAATATTTCCTGTCTGGTCCCTTGAAGCAGAACTAACCTCTACAAATACTGTAAAACAAAAAAAACAAAAAAAGGACATGCAAGGTCCCTTCTGCCAAAAAAACATCTTCCACTTTCTCCCATTTTTTTATATTCTTTGTACACTCCATCCAGAATCTGTAAGATGTTGTGAATTGTGTTGGGTGCCCGGTATGATGTAACTGTGCGCAAGCCCTGGAGTTACATCATCAGCGGCACCCAATGGCTGAAAAAGATGACAGGGGTGCCTGGAGAAGTTGGGAGGAAGTGACGACCATGAAGAATGGAGTGGTGACTGACAGCCCACATTGGTCATTGCTGAAGGAAGCCTGCTGTGTCTACTTGCACATTATGACAAAAGCCTGCCTGGCACAGCAGACTTCAGTTATGCTTTAACCACTAAATGGGTATTCCTATGGAAAACCAAGACGCAGCACTTAAAGTGATATTAAAGTCAAAATGTTTTTAAGCTATTTCAAATGCTTATTAAATCCCTTACAATGAATGCTGCTCCTTTTATTATAAGAAATATGTAGGCTGCCTTGCTGACCTCTCCTAAAATAAATGCTGACTGTCCTGCTGATCCAGCAGCTTCAATACTTTCTGACCCGAAACAAGTATGAAGATCAAGAGTGCCTATACAGGTTCCAGGCCAGTGTCTCAGAAAGAACTGAAGCCACTGACTGCCATACAGCTAATGTCTTCAGAAGGGGGTCAGCAATGGCAGCACATGTGTCTCTCAATACAGGCCTCCTTTAATTTTCAAACCTGTGCCGTAAACAAGGCAATTCAAAGCTGATTGGTTGCCACATTTTATTTTCTCCGTGTTATCACAAAGGCTTGTGCAGATGAACCAAAACAATTGCAGCTGGTTGGTAAGGGTTAACATTACGTTGCCAGGAGTGTGTACTTCAGTTTTTGGAGCTTGACTTTTTACTATTTACAAAGCTCTTTATAAGTGTCAATCACTATATTCATCTTTTGTTTGCTGTTCTACGGACAATAACACAGGCTCTATTCACACCCTGCCATGTGAAAATGGATATGGTATGGTTGTGATTTTTTTCTTTTAATATGGTTTAGGGCATGTATTTTCTTGCATCTTTGCATGACATTGGAATTTGTGGTGGTTTTTTTTTAAACGGACATATTTATAAAGCTGATCTGACCTTCACCTTCACCAAACATTTACAACAGGTGATTCCTCCTGCTATATGGGCTTTAAGGTCTCGTTCACACCTAGGCGTATTGCATATGCGCGTCTGATTCGCGGTAAAAAAGTTGCGCGACAAACGCTCGTTTTCGAAGGCTACTTGGCTGTATCCCAATGGAAACGCGCAACAAAACGGCCCAAAGTAGTACATGTACCTTTTCAGGCGTGGGCCGTTTTGTAGCGCGTTAGGGACGGGCGGAAATACGCCAAGGTGGGAACGAGACCATTGAATACAATGGGATTTATATTTTTTAGCGTTTTGTAGAGCGTTCGTCGAGCGTAGAACGCGCTACAAAACGTTCAGGTGTGAACGAGGGCTAAATGACATGATGAATTCACCAGCAGTGAATGTTCTGTCCCCTCTGCACATTGCCCTGTGTATAGCTTGACATGCAGCTAAACCTTCCTATTCTGCAGTAAGCCAGACAGGGTGACATCTTGATGCTTTATTAATAAAACAGGGTTGGGGTGAAACTCATAAAAGAACATGGAAACCTACAATCCGTATATAAAACATGTATAGTGTCAGCTCACAAATACAGAGAGAAACCAGTCCGTTCATACATCTTCAGCTCCATCTTGTTATACTTTGCATTGAGATCTGTTTTTCAATGGATGCTAACACACGGGCACTGAAAAATGTATGGGGCTCGTTCACACCGCTGCGTTGCGTTACTTTGAGCTGGAAAAAAAAGTAGTGAATGTTCTACTTTTATTTTCAGCTTAGCGCAACACAGTGCAATGCAACAGAGTGGTCTGAGCTGGTCCCATTCACACCCATTCATTTTTTGGATTACAGTCTGTTAAAATCTGTTGAAAAACGGATGGCAACGTATCTGGTGTGAATAAGGACTTATGGATACTTACATTGATCCAGCTTGGCTTAAAGCAGAACTAGGGCCACACTTCTATTAACCCTTTCAGTGGGTCTACCCCCGCACTGCACGGGTTGTTGTTTTCATCTAGGGACTAAAATAATAAAGTTATACTCACCCGAACCTGGGAGCCAGCCAGCTACCGCCATGCTCTCTCAAGCCTCCACTGCAGTCAGGGTATGTCCCGCAGCGTCCTCCTGTCCAATACACAGTGTATTGGATGCAAAGACTCACTGGACCTTAGGCCGCTGCAGCGGAGAGGGAGTGAGCCTTGAAGGACCGGCCTTAAAGTAAGCTGCCTCTATGGTTTGGGTGAGTAGGGGAAGGAAGGAACCAGGGAAGGTTAAATATAAGCAGATTAACCTTCAGCTTTAACTTTTTGCAAATAAATACTGACTTTCAGAAACGTTGGAAACTCTGTAGCAAATCATTACGTTGCTGGGTCTTCCAAGATCTGCTTTAAACAGCATCTATTTGCCGCAAGGCATTGAGCCCTCAGCTGAGAGCAGAGTACATATGTGATCTAAATGACTTGCTCACAGAATAATTACACAGTTGTATTTATTCCAATCGACCTGAGGGGAAAAATGAGAACTGTTTGAACAAGAGGTCTTTATTCACGAAGGCAGGATATCATTAATTTAATGACTGTTTACAAAGTCCAATGGTGGAAATTACCTCTCTGCCTTGTTTGTGAGCTTTTCATTAACATCTCTGCACACGGTGTTACCTGAATGTATGCACCACATTGTCAGAACATTCAGGTGTTAGCAGGCAGCTTTGCCTATTGTAGTAAGATAATAAATGGCAACATTTAAAAAAATACAGGGAAATTTACTAAGTTAGGAGATTAGATTAAAACAGACAGACAGACACACACTTACATACAGTATATAACCAGCATTAGAGGCTTGAATGTAAAGAGGTTGTATTTACTTACTCATGTATATATAGGAATTGTATAAATATAAGAAATTAAATATAAATTATGATTACAGATAAAAGGTTACTTGATACATCAGAAATGTAGGACTATAAAGGTAAAGTAAATTATTATAAGAAATAATTATTAAATAAATCAAACTGCAGTATCACAGTTCTATGTGAAAGAATGAACATACAAATCATATCACTATGGTTAAAGTGACACTAAACTCCAGAGTTAAATCTTAAAGATGCATTCAATTACCTTAAAGGAGAACTATGGGGTTAGGGCTTTTCCCCATAGTTCTCCTTAGGGTAACGGGAGGACACAAACTAGCGTCCTCCCGTCACCCTAAGCTCAGTATACCGCAAGCTACCGCTCGCGGTATACTAAGAAGCTGCAGCTGAAGCGGATCCCGACAATTATGTCTGGACCCGCCCAGCTGCGTGAGTGACAGCTGGCTCTGCCTATCCAGAGGCAGAGCCAGCTGTACCCACCCCCTCCACCGTCCGTTCCGCCAGTCAGCGCTGGAGGATCGGAGCGGGGAGGGGGGAATCTAGTCCCTCCCCTGTCACGGCAGAGTGCCGTGACAGGATCGAGAAGTGAGCGAACGCCGGTATGTGTTCGCTCACCTCCCGATCTACTGAGCCGACCTGTGACAGTCTCATTGTCACAGGTCGGCTAGAACTATGAGGATGAGTGAAAAGCACTCACCTCATAGTTCTCCTTTCAATCAGAGATTATTAACCACTCAGCCACTTTTTCAGAGAGGATTACAACAAAATGACTGTGTCACTTGGCCGGGCCACAGCAGGCAACTAAAACTTTTAAACACCATAGAGCAGCATCCATTATAAGTGATTTATCAGCATTTGAAATTGCCTAAACACCTTTTGTCTTTAATATCACTTTAAACAATGAACGAGTTTGCACCTTTAACAATAAGTCAACAATGGCAGCTCCCATATCTCTGTACTGACAGTTACTCTTTAATAAAAAAGCTATTTGAATTGCAAGCAATTATCTGGCTGCCCTGTACCGATGGAAGAAGAAATCTCATAAAAACATTACTCATTGCACTGCCTGGATGGATGATATCATGCTGTTCTCCATCTTAAGATGTACTTTTTATGTTGCCAAAACAAACACCTCAGTGTCTTAACTGTGGCACCCCAAAGATTTATAAAGGCGTTCTATTAAAACAAGCAATGAATCAACACTGACACGTCAAGCTGTCTGAATATTCCTGAATCGGCTTCACTCACGACAGGAGTCGAAGGAGTTTTTTTTTTGCAATGCTTACATTCAATACATTAATGTGACTTGTTATAAGAGCCTGATCTAAACATCATTCTCTTTACATTTTTCCATAAATCATCTCTGAATGTATGGACTAATAAGGAGTCTGCACACACACACTTTGTTTAAACAAAAATCTAACAGAGGTCACTGGGTTTTGTTATAAGACACTTTTATAGAATCCTTATTCCACATATACTATGTTCAACTCGGCCTGTCTGCTCAGTTAAACTTGAGTAAAGGTAAAGATTACTAGTAAATGTCCATATTATCTGGTTAAGTTACCTATAATGTCTGTTGTGCACCTTATTATAACGCTCATACCAGTTCAGGCACTATAACTGTTGCCTGTAGCATCACCTATAGCAACCCTCCATTCAATTTAAACAAGGTGGACTACCAATACTTGGTAGCCTTTAAACCTCGGTGCTATAATTTCTGACCAGATGGCACAAGGTGTGAAAGTAAAGAACAAGATTATCTGTGGCCCTCAAGAGTATCAGGCGCGGACCAGAGGAAAGCACAGCTGGTGAGCATCCTGTAACAAAGTCCGTGCTAATGCTACCTAGCAAAGAGGACATCTGCAGAGTGAGGCCAGCTAATAGAAGTGCTAATAGAAGTGGATGGGCATTGTTGCCAGCGTTGAGTCTGAGTCCCAGCAACCACCATCGCTTTGGTTTGACATAGGAGAGCAGCTGGACCGCAGGCTGACCAATAAGAGCATGAGCTTCTGTTATGCTCCTAACATTTGGGTGCATCTACCAACCTTACACGCCACATTTATTCCTACATTGTAATGGGTACAACATAAGGGTGAGCACTGTAATAAACATGTTACCCACTTGGAACCCCAGTAAATATATGCATATGGCATATTTGGGATATCAGGGCACAAAGAAGACAGTTTTAGAATAAAGGAAGTTATGTGCCAACGCCTTTCACGGTCTGCTATTAGGTATATATGGCAGTTTAGAAACTTAGAACATTAGAATGTAGTACAAAGCCTTACCGAGCTATAACGTTGCTTTAAAACAAGACACATTTAAAAAAGCACACCAGAGCTCTACTCTTGTTTCAGGACTTTGAAGCAAGTGTAACACTATTAAAGGGAGGGGGGGAAAAGATAGGAGGAAAGGAGGAAAGATTTTTCTCTGATGTGCTAAGTAGAGAGAACTTAATTGGACATTGTAGACTCGAGTCCAGACCATAGCCTGCCTTTTTTAAATGGCATGTAAAGCACACGGAGTAACACTGTTCCGCCCTCTGCCTTAAAGGAGAACTATGAGGTGAGTGCTTTTCACTCATCCTCATAGTTCTAGCCGACCTGTGACAATGAGACTGTCACAGGTCGGCTCAGTAGATCGGGAAGTGAGCGAACACATACCGGCATTCGCTCCCTCCTCGATCCTGATCCTACAGCGCTGACTGGTGGAACGGACGGGGGAGGGGGCGGGTACAGCTGGCTCTGCCTCTAGATAGGCAGAGCCAGCTGTCACTCACGCAGCTGAGACATAATTGTCGGGATCCGTTTCAGCTGTAGCGTCTCTGTATACTGCAAGCTATACTGAGCTTAGGGTGATGGGAGGGCGCTAGTTTGTGTCCTCCCGTTACCCTTAGAAGAACTATGGGGAAAAGCCCTAACCCCATAGTTCTCCTTTAAGTGCCACCTTAATAGCAGGTCTTTTTGGAAGGGAACCTGTGAGTATAGTAATTTGGGGTCTGGGACTAACATGACTGCAACCATAATTTTATGAACATGCAAATCCAATATCTTTAAAATAATCTTGTATCAAACCTAGGCAATTCAAATTATCATAAAATGAAAAATGCATATAACTGAGTTTACCTTCTGTGATAACCACAGGTCAAAATAAGATGCAGATGTTTATAGGCAGTTGAGGTTATGTCCCTTTTAAATTTAAAGTGTATCTAAATCCACAAACACAAATGTAATGTATTACAGTCTACCAGTCCTTAGATGGGGTGGTTGCACGAGTGTCCTTTTTCAGGCCCTTTCTCCTTTATTATTATCTGGAAATCCTGTGAATAGCAAACTTTGTCACTCATCCACTGCATTAATAGAGCAAGCCGTGGTTGCCACCCAGGCCGGACTGCTACCATGCCTGCCTTTGTTCATCTTCATTACTTGGGGAGATTATCACTTTACAGAAAGAAGACCACATTGTTTTATGCCCCCAGGTCATCTCACAGGGAGTGACCAGGATACTGTACTTCTGGCATAATCACAGGTATTTTCTATACATGCTGAAAAGAAAATGTAGCCACCACATCTAAGGACTGTTATGGTCCAATATATTACATTTTTGTTCTTTAGTTTAGGTATCCTTTAATGCTATGGGTGGATCCTTCCCATTCCACTGGCATTTATACATAGTGGCTCCTATATTGTCTGCTTCATTAGCTGTTTCAAAAGCACATCTACTTTCCCCAAAAAGGGCAGCCTAAGGAGACTGTCAAAATTCAGCAGCTAAACACGTACCTCCACATCTAACTGCTCTTGGCTCTGGCATACTGTATATGTAGAGGGCAGTGACACATGGCCATCACACGAAGGACACAGGTGTCTCAGGCATGTGGGCTGTGAAATTCAGCTCGACATTCTTTATACTATGGAAAAGTTAAGATGGCAGAGCCCAATGGGGAAATAACTGGGTCACAGGACAGACTGGAGTACAGTTTTTGGCTTCTGCAGCTTTTGATAACTGAATAGTTTATATTTAGCAAAGGGCTTCTGTAAATGCTGGAAAATGAGATGGTTGTTTTAAAGGAAGGAGTATGTTAAAAAACACAAGGGCATATCTGCAGAATTTTATTGGAGTTACTTATGGACATTATGAAAATGAGTGCTGTAGTGAATCCAATTTCCTGTAAGCAGGATGTTCCTGTGTGCAATAAATACATTATAAATGACAATGGAACACAATTGAATGTTTAACCAAACCACTATTTCTACATGGGGAAATGTAACATTTTAGTGTTATTGAAGGTGTGATTTGCTTCAGGCTCGGTAACTTCCTTGAAATGTATTCAACCACTAAAGAAGATATTCAGTTCAGGTACAATCTAGTTGGTATGTCTTTGTTTTATTGCAAGATCTAGAATTAGAGATTTAAACCCCAGCACCTCCAGTCCCCAGCTCCTATACTTATAAATGGACTATTTTGGACTCAGACCACTTAATCAGCAGTAACTGCTATCGGGCACAAAATATAATGAAGATAAAGTCAACATGTCAATACTGACATGTTTGTAAACTGGCATAAGTAGTATTCTGGTGACCTAGAGGTGCCTGTGCATACCATATGTCCCCTTGTAAAGCACCCTAGGAACCTTCAAACCCTGGGTATTCAATACTTACGTTGTAAAAGGTAGCCTCCAGGTGCAGCTTTTCACAATTTTCATATTGAGCACCTTGGGTTTAGGTTCTTGGGGCACGGAGGTAAGGAAACCTAAGGTGTGTACATCACGTCAGTAGCGAGTAATTTTACTTTTAATGTTAAGTTGACCTGGCCTTAGAAAAGCCTAAGGTGCTAAGGTGTCAGCACACTATGGTGCCTACAGTTACATGTCTTAGTTTTGATCCTTGTGGAGCATCTTCCTTGGATCCAAGGCCCAGGCGGCACACAGGGCCTTAACTTCTTTACATGTTATTATTTTGCTCCCCACCTGCCAAGTGCTTGTAGTGCCTGCTCAGACTCTGGTATTTAACAGATAAATGACAGGGAAGAACATAGCATCAGCAGGGTTGAGGTTTAGGTTTCAGCTGATGTCCTGTATAGCATGGCCCAAGGATCCAAGGGACTCAACTAGAACGTAGGTATCAACATAAAGACCAGTCACCACAAGGTATGTCAGCACTGTTCTTACCTTTTTAAGCCAGTTCAGTTTCAATTTAATTTAAATGTTAAAAATGTATTATTAATATTAAATTCCTTACCTGCCTCTGGTCTAATCTGTCAAATGCTGCATTGGCCCCATATGCATTACAGGATTTCACAATGTATTCTGAGTTGACACCAAGCAGAAAACTTGACTCTCCACAAGATCCATCAGCAACTATCATGATCCTGGGCCATGCATCTTGTGACATCTTCCTTATGTACTCATCTGTAAACTAAACACATACAATCAATTAATTTCTAGTTACATAAAAAAGGTGAATTTGGAGAGTACTATACGTTGTTTGCTGAACTGTTCGTTCCAGTATATGGCATTACATTCCCCAACTGGGGACAGAGCAGTGACGTTTTTTTTAGTATGGTGTATAATAATTAGAACCTCTGTCAGGTTTGACCTCGGCTTGTCCTGACCCAGCTTCTGTCTTCCAATGCTGTACTGCACAGCTCGCCTGTTACTGACCCGGCTCAGCTCTGATTCCGCTTATCTGATATCCTGCATGCTTCTGGCTGACTACCTGCCTGGTGCTTCACTCCTGTGTCTTCAGCATCTCTACTCAGTGGCACCCGTGCCTCACGCAGTCCGTTCGCCCCTGTTTTACTCTCAGGGGCGCTCAGACCAGCGCTGCAAGGGAAGGTCCTTCTCGTCATCTCAGATTCACAACAGGTACATGACAGAAAGTTTTAGTATGTGATGCTCTTCAAATTATCATCCAGGGCAACAGTGAGAAATACAATTTTGTGGACCTGTAGCAATGTATTTGTCCCATAGTTTCCCAGACCAGACTAATTTTTTTTTTTAATCTCAGGATATTTTTATCATTGTTGAACTGATATGTTCCACAACTTTCCAAAAATGATACAGATGAACAACACAATCTTTTTTTTTTTTTTCTAGAAAATGTTTGAGTACATTTCAAAATGATTAAAATCCAGTTTTATCTTCCTCATAATGGTAGAAATGGAGTCAGGGTGGATCAAAGACTAATATGCTAATTGTCTCATTGTGCCTCATTTTTTCAATGTTCCCCTATCCCCAGCAGAAGAACCCTGCACGCTGCATAGGAGGTTACACGATTGCAGCTCAGTACCATAAAAGCAGTGACCTCTGTGCAGCAGTCCGACCCCCCAACCCCACCACAAGCACCACTCATCACCACAGCTTTCTTTCCCCATCAAGTGCTGTTGCATGTAGCACTGTAGTGATGACAATGTGTATGTGTGTGTTTAATAAATCTTTGATGAAAATACAACCCTTATGTGATACAATGTGCCATGGCATAAAGCTGTTCTCAAACAGTCCTCCTCCCCTATCCTGGTGGTCTCTGTGTTCCAACCAGGCGTAATTGTACTGACTACATCGTGTGCAGCTTCCCAGCAGTCTCAGGAACGTTTTCTCCTTGTTCCGCCTGTTTTTTTACTGTTTGGAGTGTTGAAGATGGGATGCTGCCTTGTCTGGCTAAATTAACAGTTCCATTAGGGCAGCAACAACCCCAAATTCTGTGGGGAAAGCGGTCCAGGCCTCTGTACCATCGCCTAATTACACAGTTATGCGAGGAGACTGGGGGTGCAGATCCAGCAGGAGGCTAGCAGCACTATCCTCATCCAATTCACAGGCCACACACTTGTCACTGAAGCCCATCTACACCTCCCTAGGGGGTTGATGGGCATCTTCACAATAAATGAAGTGCTGAACTTACATCAGACCCTTTTCAGAGGGTTATTGCGGTGTTATGCATGCAGAGACAACCTGCATATTCACACCTGTATCTCAAGGTCATAGATTGCAGGCTTGTGGCCTAACCAGCCTCCCACAGAGGGGAGAGCCTGAAAATATTCTTCTCTACATGGTGGCTTCCCGGAATCTCTCCTTCCTACGCTGGAGAATTTTTAGTAACAGCCCACTAGCACTGACTAGGGGGCCCTATCAGCACTATACTTCCCAAAAGGAGGAGGCAGCATTTGCCACCATACTACGCATTCAAAGCAAGCAAGACTGAATTTATTTTCTTTTCGTCATGTCCTAAATTAAAGCTTGTTCTTAGGACCTCGTAAAACAAGCGGATGTCTTCACTAAATATTTTCCTTGCTAAATTTCCTTCAACACCAATGCCATGAAGTTCATCTAACCTCCAGTCATTTCAAATTGGCTCCCGTCCTTCCTGTGTTACAACACATTTGAACAAAGTGGTTATTGGTAATTAGAATAAACAACTAGAAAACCACTTGGCTTAAAACTGCATTTTTATGTGTTTGCCTATTGTACTCATGGAGAGGCCAAACAACCCTCGCTATGGCAGCTAACCAGCATTCTGAGCAGACTCCAGGGAAAAACAACGCTAGAAATATCTAATTAAATATAGCTTTATTTCTTTAAATTGGAAGCCGTCTTTGCTGTTTTCCATGTGTGGAACTTTTGTTTGCATTAATAAGTTGGACTTTCATTTGTAAACTACAGATTCACACTCTGGGAGAGCTTATCAAGGTTGACACATGTTTTGAAAGTCATTTATTTTGCTTTGTGTTGGCATGTTCTCTTCTGGGAAGACCGGTCAGGCTGGCTTCATTGTTGGATGGCTATTTCATGGTAATTACATGGTAGATTTTTGCCTCATCAGTTAATCGGAACATGGAGGTACTGTTTAAATATTTGCTTGGATTGCCTTCCATATAATATATGATCTGGGTATATCTCCGTTGTGCTATCTGGCTGCATGATGGATTCTTGTTCAGTATACATAGTTTTTTTTCCTGCCATGTATACTGAACAAGAATACATCTGGCAGCTAATATATTCAGAATATTTTGCATGTATACACCAATTACTAGAATTAAAATACACTGTCTAACTCAAGTAAAGGATTACTTACAGGTGACTTTGGGAGATAAAAGTATAATTTAAGTTAAACATGTGTAGCCCCTACCACCCTAAGTGGAGTGCCTACTAAAATTTACTGTTGCTAGCACTGTAATCAGTCTGATTGATTTGTAGTCTGGCATCATCTGGTGAATTCTAGGTGTTATGCTATTGATTGCACCAACCTTTGAGTGGGGTGTGACCCTGCCACCGAGTGGGGCAGCCAATAGGGGAACATTAGGAGTATCTATGCCTCACCAGCCAATTACTAGGTGTTTCATGGCGAGTTGTGCATGCTGGGGAAGTGCATACATACTCAGGGATTGCCATGTGCTTGGCCAATCTGCCCCTGGGCCTAGCCTGATGGTGGGATGTACAAGGTTGGAGAAGCTGACTAGGCCTAAGCCAAGAGGCCACATGTAGACCCAGTAGGGGTCTGGAACTATCTGGGGAGGAGAACCAGAGGAGCCCCATGTTTGCTGGAGGTGTCAGGACATAGCATGGACCTCCGGAATAAGTCTGGTCTCTCTCCCAGGGAAGATCTCATGAATACCCTGTATTCAGCTGTTGTTCTACTGCACAGTGTCAGTTCTTGTTCTACTGAAGTATTTTCTGCACTGTGGAAGCTTGAGGGGATTGGTGAGTCTGGAGTCTCTCTATTTTTGCCAAAGATGTCTGAAGCCCTACACCCTCTTTCCCAGTTTTGCTGTTCTAAAAAAAAGCATCTAAAAAGTGAATGGCGCCATATTTACTGATCGCATCCCACAACCATCCCACTAAGCATCAACCCCTGAGAGTAAAATATCAGCTCTCCCTACCCTTTGGGGGGTCCACCACAGGCCTCTGTAAAACACTGAATGTTGCTGACTGGACTTAGGCAAAAGCACTGTGACTACAGCCACAGTTCGAAGGGTGTTGATCATGTGTTGTGTGAAGTAAAAATGTTCTTATATCACTAGCTAAGGCACAGTGATGTCTGTGTGCAGGGTATCATTTTTTAATCCAAAGCCTGTTAATAAAACAGCTCGAAACCAGCCAAAAGTCATCCCAACAGTACCTGAAAATAGGCTAAATAAAACTATAGGCACATATTAAAGTGAATCTGTAACTTCTCCTCCTCCTCCTATTGGCCTAAACAAAAAACATGCCTCAAAATGCATAGATAAACACACACAAAAGTGTGTAAAATTTGCACACAAATGCACTATGAATGGCCCAAGATGCCGACACTCAGGCAATCTTTTGCACCATTCAAGCCACTTTCGTAGTAGGCTGTGTTATTTTATCAATCTCTTTAGCACTTTCTTACAATGCCTGTGCATCACCTACCACTCACTTGCAAAGTCTGCTCTATCCCACCTGCATTCTTTTACAGCACCCACAAACTCTCTAGTAGTCTCTTGCAATGTTTGAGCAATTTTGGGAGCATATTTGTAGTCTCCATACAAGTCTTCTGCAATATGGAAGCAGTTTCGTTAGCATTCCCCTATAACAAGCTAGCAGTCACTCATAAGAGCACACCTGTTTAGTCCCACCTCCTAATAAGTAACACCTACATTTTGCAGCACATTGCTTTTGGCCTCTTTCCCTATCAGAATGGTGAAAGTAATATGGCTGGGGTTTGATTTGAATTACCTTTTTCTGATTTGGAAAAGTGGGACGCACATGCCTTATATAATTTACTGAGCAATGTAACTTCCATCACTAGGGGTTTGTTCAAGTCATGCGCATTGGCAACCATGGCCAGGGCAGTCCAAATGCATAAACAAGACAAAAAGACCTTGAGGGGAATGGATAATAACTGAAGCAGACAAAATGTGGAGCAACTTTGTACGGCAATCAATCAGCTTCTCTCTTCAGTTTGTTTAGTTAAGATTTAAAAATGAAAGAGAGAAGCTGATTGGTTGCTGTGCAAAGTTGCTCCAGATTTTGTCTGCTCCAGGTTTGATACATTCCCCTCATTGTCTTTAATTAAACACAGCATTGCAGTGGTGTGTGCTGAAAAAACAGTATGGCATGCACTACTTTATTTTGTGTGATGTGTGGTGCCCGGAACTGCATGTCGTGGAACTTTCAGTGCACTGTAATCACAGATGACACCCCATCTATTAAAGTGACACTAAATTCAGGAATTAAATCTTAAACATGCATTCAAGTACCCTAACTATTAATAAAACTGTACCCTATTTGTGCATCACTTGGCTGTAGATCCTCAAATCATCTCTGAATTGGTGCTGACACTGTCCTTCCTTCTGAAGGGTGGGTACTTTTGTTCCCATGGTCCCTGTGTGTGTTATAAAGTAGCCACCACTCCAAGCTCACTCCCACATTGGACTAGAATCTCACGTTTCGTTT